AGCTAATAAAGTTAACAGTCAATTAATAGAGCTATTCTATTAGTTGACTGTTAATTCTATTAATTGATTGTTAGCTGATTATTAGCTGGTAAAGACCTATTTTTAGCTAATAGAGTTCACAGTCAGTTAACAGAATTAACTGAAATATTATAAAGTGAGGGCTATTTTCTTCAATTCTAATAGGTGAGGGGCTAAAACCTACAAACTTAGTAACGTAAAGGGTCAAAAGTAGGTTTTTGCCGGTGTAATGAAGTCTCCCATTAGAAACGACTTCTTTTTCCTTTTCGTACTTGTCAGAAAAGGTTTGAATGCCTAAAAACATGGTTCGAGGAAATTTGATTTTTGCCTAAATTCTCTCCTAAATTCTCTCCAATAGTGCAGTTTCCTATAAAAAATCAATTAATCTTTGCCTTTCATAATGCAGCCAATGAGCATGGTCTTGCCTGGTGTTGTTGGGTTTAAACTATCAGGAAAATTAAGAGATGGGGTGACAGCTACTGACTTGGTGTTGACAGTTACTCAAATGTTGAGGAAGCATGGTGTAGTTGGCAAGTTTGTGGAGTTCCATGGTATGACTTCCAGAATATTTATGAATCCACTTTCAATTTTTGTCACTTCATTTCATGCTAAACATTGGATTCTCTACTCTTCAATCACAGGGGAAGGCATGAGTCAACTGTCACTGGCAGACCGTGCTACCATTGCCAACATGTCTCCTGAATATGGTGCAACCATGGGGTTCTTTCCAGTGGATCACGTCACTCTGCAATATCTAAAATTGACTGGAAGAAATGATGAGACAGTAAGTCATTAGTGCTTTTTTGGTCAATTATGTGATTAATTTGAAATTCATTCCATTTAATATGCTCACTCATGATATACTAATTTGTGAACCAAAATGTAGATTTCTATGATAGAGTCTTATTTACGGGCTAATAAGATGTTTGTTGACTATAGTGAGGTAAGCCAAGATTTTTAGTTCCTTCTGCATCTCATCCAAGACATGTTCAATGTATAGTTTCTGAAGGACACTATGTTGTCCGAACTCAGCCTCAGAGTGAGAAAGTGTACTCTTCCTGCCTGGAATTGAATCTTGACGATGTTGAACCTTGTGTGTCAGGGCCCAAGAGGTAAAGTTTTCTGTATATGTCAAAACTTCCATTCTTTCTTAGAAACCTGAGTTGCAAATCCATTGTTGCAGCAATTTATGACTTGGTTCTCACTGATTGTCTCACTTTCAGGCCACATGATCGAGTTCCTTTGAAAGAAATGAAAGCTGATTGGCATTCATGCTTAGATAGTAAAGTTGGATTCAAGGTTAGGACCTTTACATGTTAGACTATGAAATGGTCCAGGACCTTTGACATTAATGGATAAGGAATTTACTAGTTTAATTTCTTTCGCTTTTTGGCTAAAATAGAGAATGCGTTTAATTAACTGCATTAGACCTCACAGTTTCCTGCACATTATGATCTGTCCATGAATTTTTTCTATTTTTCATGATAAGAGCTAAAAGAAAATGTTAATTCATAAGGTGTTTAATTGACTGCTTTAGACCTCACATTCTTTACCTACATCATGGTATGAAAGGGATTTGCCATACCAAAGGAATCTCAGAATAAGGTTGCTGAGTTCAATTTTCACGGGACCCAAGCACAACTGAGGCATGGAGACGTTGTTATTGCTGCTATTACTAGTTGCACAAATACCTCAAATCCTAGTGTTATGCTTGGAGCTGCTTTGGTTGCCAAAAAGGCTTGTGAATTAGGCTTGGAGGTTGGTACTCTCTCCACCATTTTACACTTCTTTTATGGATGGTCCTCATTTGACTATTAAGATTAATTCAATTTTCATCATCAAAGAAGTTGGTCACTTTTAGTTGTAGCAGTCTGGTTTTTTGGTTTTGCCACTTTGATTGTTTTACATTCAGGAACTCTTTGGGTACAGCTTAACTTTTGCAGTTCCGCCCTCTTCCCAAATAATTTGATGACTTTGGGGATTTATTTATTTTAGGACAGACTCTTTAAGAGAGCTAAGAGTAGTGTCCAAATTTCTCTAGATGCTGGATGCTTTCAAGATTACAAATCATATAACAAGAGCTAATCTTATATTGGTTTGCTTTTATGAAATTTTGTTTTGGATGGAAGTTGCAAGGCCATTTCTTCCGTCAGAATGATGATACAGAGATTTTATGAGTATTAAACCTGTTTATCATATTATTAGATTTCATTTATAAGTGATGGTATGTCTTTATCAGGTAAAGCCATGGATTAAGACAAGTCTTGCACCAGGTTCTGGGGTTGTGACTAAATACTTGCAGAGAAGGTACTTCCAATAAATCAGTAGTGATTACCTTCAAAACCTATATTCTTTGGTGCATATTCCTGACTCAGGCATTTCATTTCAGTGGCTTGCAGAAGTATTTGAATCAGTTAGGATTTCATATAGTTGGATATGGATGTACCACTTGCATTGGGAATTCAGGAGATATTGATGAAGCAGTGGCATCAGCTATTACTGAAAATGGTAAATTTCTTGGCGCCACTGTTACCTTTGGAGACTTCACATGGGAGTGCATAAAACGGTTTCCCCTTTGTACATTTTTCTAGATATGGTTGCTGCAGCTGTTTTGTCAGGAAACAGAAACTTTGAGGGACGTGTACATCCTTTGACAAGGGCTAATTATCTTGCCTCTCCTCCTCTAGTGGTTGCCTATGCTCTTGCTGGCACAGTATGTAGCTTGTTGTAGTTTCTATTATGGCAGTTCTTAATTATACTATGTCTTCCAATTGCCATCTTTTAGTGCTAAATTTGTCTGGCATCATCAGCTATATATCTCATCAGAAGAAATATTTCAGGTTGATATTGATTTCAAAACAGAGCCCATTGGGACTGGCAAAGATGGGAAAAAGATCTATTTCAGTGATATTTGGCCATCTAATGAAGAAGTTGCTCATGTGAGATACTTTGCCTTCTTTATTATTATGGCTTCTAGATGTTTGGCTAAAAGGTTAGGATTTAACATTTTTTTATTTCAAATATTTCGTTCAGGTTGTTCAATCTAGTGTGCTGCCCGATATGTTTAAAGCTACATATGAAGCAATCACCCAAGGAAATCCCATGTGGAACCTGTTATCTGTACCTTCCAGCACTCTCTATGCTTGGGACCCCACATCAACTTATATACATGAACCACCTTACTTTAAAGACATGAGCATGTCTCCTCCAGGCCCGCATGGAGTAAAGGATGCTTACTGTTTGCTGAACTTTGGAGATAGCATTACCACTGATCACATATCACCAGCTGGTAGCATTCACAAAGACAGTCCTGCAGCCAAGTACCTCATGGAACGTGGGGTAGACAGAAGAGATTTCAACTCTTACGGTAGTCGCCGTGGTAACGACGAGATTATGGCAAGGGGCACCTTTGCGAATATCCGTATTGTCAACAAGCTATTGAAAGGAGAAGTTGGACCTAGAACAATTCATATTCCTAGTGGAGAGAAGCTATCCGTGTTTGATGCTGCAATGGTAAATTTTTCTGAACTTGCTATTCATTGGGCTCTTTTAAGTCTCTTGAACTACAAGACATGTAATTTCTATAAAAATCTGAAAATCACCAGAATCCTTGCCTAACTTAACAGGAAAACAGAAAACAAATACAAAACCAGCAGCCTTCTATCTTAAACAAGCACAAAGATACGACTTAATAACATCTATATATCCAAAGTCCTAACCGTATCAGGTCCTGAATGAGTCCATATCATCAAATAAAAACCATACTTTAGATTTTTTTGATTTTTCACGTTGACTTGTTAGCTCTCTAGGTCATTAGTTGAAATTGGTTGAGGATGATTAAATTCAAGGACTTACCAGCTGCAATTATTCCCTTTTTTCCTCCTACAGTCTAATTTTTGTAGTTATTTTATTAACAGAGATACAGGGGTGAAGGGCTGGATACCATAATTTTGGCAGGTGCTGAATATGGGAGTGGAAGTTCTCGAGACTGGGCTGCCAAGGGTCCTATGCTCTTGGTATACAATTCAATAGCATTCTCTCTTCTTTTTCTTCTTTTTCAGAAGCAAACATTTACAATATCATGTCATTCTCTTTCCATGTACTTTTTGGCTTTTATGATAATGCCATAAACTGGATTCAGGGTGTAAAAGCTGTGGTTGCAAAGAGCTTTGAGCGAATTCACCGTAGCAACTTGGTTGGTATGGGCATCGTCCCACTATGTTTCAAGGCTGGTGAGGATGCAGAGACCCTTGGCTTGACTGGTCATGAGCGCTACACCATTGAACTTCCCAGCAATGTCAGTGAAATTAGACCAGGCCAAGATATCACCGTGGTCACAGATAGTGGCAAGTCATTCAGCTGTACATTAAGATTCGATACAGAGGTACTAAAATAAAATTTGTCATGTTTTTTCCTTGCAAGTTTTGAACTGGTGCTATTTTCTCATAAAAGCTCTAGTCCTATCCTTCCCGCTAAAGCATTTGTCACTTGAATGCAGGTGGAATTGGCTTATTTTAACCATGGAGGCATTTTGCAATATGTCATCAGGAACTTAATTAATGCAAACCAGTGATTTGGCAAGCATATTTTCTTCAGGGTGGGAAATTTGCAGCTACTGATCTTTCACAATATTTTCTTTAGCCTCCCAAGGCAGATGAGATGACAACTACATCAAAATCTGAATAAATTAAGAAACCAGTATGAGGAATCTGGGTGTCAGCATTTACATTTTCTTGCTTTTCCTGCTGCCCCTTACTTTCCCAAGTGTTGAAAACGTCAAAAAAAAAAAATCTCATATTTCCACTAAATGATCACGGTGTTATCTGGGGGAATTTTATTTATTTTTTTTTTCTTTCTTTTTTCTCTCCTCATGTATTCCAAAATTTGAACTTGAGATCTTTAAAATGAATGGGCAATCTATCAAGAGAGCTGAATTTGGAATGCATGCAAAGAGTAAGGTCTGAGAAAGGGAACAAATAAGAGGTGAAAGAAAACTATGCTCTACGGAATAAATGATTTCAGCCCTTCACATGGGTAAAAGAATATCATTACTTGACAACAACTCATAAATTCATCACACTAGGATTACTAGTAAAATTTCAACTTCTATTTTTCTAGGGATTGTATAGTAGTGGTAACGTATAATGGTAACGTATAAGGGATCTTGTTTGAAAAATGAGAAGAAAAAGAGGTTACAGCAGCAGGGTAAGATAGAACGGGGGCAGCACTGGGTCAAAATTTATGCTGGAAGGTGCCAAGCTGTTGACCACTTGAAGTCCAATAGTTGCAGAGCTCTCACTAGATGTTTGAAAGTACAATCATCCTGTCAAAGAGCCTACAAAGTTTTAGGAAAAAAAAATTGTTATCTATAGGACATTTGCTCTTGAAATAGAATTAGTATGAATCCTCTGTTATATAACCTCACGTGGAATTTGATTCACAGATGCAATTGTTGAAAGAATTGCAGTAAAATAGTTACATCAATAATTTTGATATTCAGCCAGAATCTGTTGAAGGTATCATGCCCTGACCTTAATTTTGGAAGATCTTTAGTGCTGACTAATTACTAGTAGAAGGACAACATTGTAAACCGTTTTTCACGATAACAAACTTGTAACTCATAAAGCTTTAGGAGAAAAGTCAACACTCTGGCCTAAGTAGCTTAGTGACAATTTTTCATGTTTAAAAGCAGTACCCAAAACTTCACTTTTATCATTTTAATGATTCAACATAAACAAAACATGGTTGTTAAATTATTTAGCCCTGACTTTATGACTCTTATTCATGCTGACAGTATCATAACATTGTCACAAATAGAAACAAAACATACTCGCATCAAGTGCAGCCGCAGATTCAGCAGCTTGTTATAACTAAACATTATATACAGAATAGTAATTATGCACCTGAATAAATAAATCTAAAAATTATCAACTCAGGGTACAGAAATCTCACCTCTTTTAGCTGTAGTTTAAACCTTATAATCATTGACACGCATCCATTTGGTAGATGACCACTTATTCCCTTTAATCACAGGGCAACCACCTGGGACATGACAAATAGAAAATGAAATTTTGTTACCAAACTCACAGGATGGGAGAAAAGGAGGGAAGAAGGGGGGTGTTTGCAATTAAATTTTCAATTAACAGATGTGGCACATGTTTGGAAAACCTTGACAGCTGGGTAATAGCACGGATAACTAACCATGCAAACTAGAAGGATCTAGAGTTGCATCAGGCTTCATGCCCCAGAAAAGTAAAGCATCACCCATCCTTGGTTTGACTGAAAGTCCCTTCTTTCCACAGTCAGATAATTCATCCCACCAAGGCACGGCACTAAAGTTCCCCTTGGCAGCAGGAAAGATGGTCTCTCCCCCTTCTTCAACATCAGAGCTGTTCAACCATAAAATGGCAAATGTTATAGAAGGAGGCAAAGTTACACATTGTGAAGTAGCAAATAACTTAGCAAGCAGAGCTGTGTCACCTACAGGTACATAAGAACTGTAGCCATGCGTTGGCCTCCATTCCTTGTATTGAATTCATCATTGAAGTAGTCATAGTGAGGCTCATATTTTTGTCCAACTTCATAGTGGAGAACTTGAAGCCCTTCACCATGCTCTGCAAAGAATGGTGTTCACTTGAGTAACAGTAATTAAATATGTTAATACATATAGCTTGTAAAATCCAAAACTAACCAAATGCAGACAAATACTAAAAAAAAGATAAATAGATTAATGATGTTGAATAGCCCCCTTTAGCTTTTAAGTTTGCAATATAGTATAATGAAAGATTAATTGTTTAATTCTAGGGCACTTCGAAGTGTGATGAGGGTTGTCCAAAAAGAAAAAATCCTTTAACACATAAAGATGATTAGAAATCAGAAAAGAAGAAGGTGCTCATAAAAAATCACGCTTACCAACTGGTATGAAGGTAAAATCTGCAATCCTTTTCTCAATGTTCTGAATAATTTTGTCAACTCCTCTTGAAAGAAAAGTGCCGAAGCTTGTACGCACCCTGCATGTGAAAATTGCATTAAGGGTCCAATATATAAGCAAAGAGCTAGCCGAGAGATGACCAATAAGTTAAAACTTCCACAACCAACTTAAACAGTTAAATATCCCAAGAGTGTTACAGAAGGATGCTAGAAAGATTTTGCACCTGCTATCCTTACTCTTGCCGGTTTGGCTATCAACTACAGTTGATTTGCGCATATAAGGCTTTGCGAGATTGATAAGGTACTCACACTCCTCCTTGGACTGCCGAAAGGCCAAATCAAATGCTGGATCAGCATGAATTATCTCAAAAAGAAAGGTAAACAAAACTAGTTGAGTTCAAACCCCAGAATCAACAAAGAGTTTCTGGTCCACACAAAACGATCCATTTCTATGAAACCAACATACGAATATCATGAATAACCCTAAGCCAAGAGAAAAATTCCCTTTCAATGAGTTTACTGTTCAGTGACCCATTGATATAATTCACACAAAACTGCAATTCCGAATTACCAAGGCATACTTGATGCACTTCTTAAGGCATGTTAAGCATTCTCATGATTGCTTACTAAGTAAAGATTAGTATGCTGAAAATCTTTGAAATGGGAACAACATATTTAAATTAGTAAAGTCTTAATCAACTTCTTATTAATTTCAATTGCAATCATGCTCCATTTCCCAAACATAAACATCAACACAATGAGAGTAATAAATTGCAAAAGCCATGGAAGAAGACAAATAAACATTAGAATTAAATAACAGGAGAAAATGAATCAAAATTAAGCCAAGAAAACGCCAACACTCACCAAAAAATTATGATAAATAACAGCTCTAGGCTCCCACGAGATGACTTCAACCCACTGCTTCCCTCTCCCTCCGTCTTCCTCAGTTCTGCAATCAAAAACCGGCTTAATTACCAGATCACTACAGGGAAATTGAGAGAACCTAACGAAATCCACCAACCACCTACCTCTCCATAGCTTTGCGCACAATCGAGTTCAAATCGTGCGCTTTGGTGGAATCACCGGAGTTGCTAGGAATTGAGAGGATGCCGAACGCGAGAAGAATAAGAATCACGAATGTGAACATGATCAACATCGTGAAAGCCAGAGTAGAAGACGACAACTTCCGAGACGGAAGACGCGAATGCCTCAGCTTCGCCATTGTCGTGGATCGAGATCTGGGGCCGGAGCTGGGATGACTCGGTGTCTGACGGAAGACCGCGGTTGCAGTTGGTGGAAGGCGCTCCCTTATTTTCTTATTATTATTTTTTTTTTATAAAAAAAAATATTATAATTGTCCGATCTGGTTTAGACGGTGGTCATGTGGTGAGATTGTCTTTTGAAAATTCAGACTAGTTTTCCGTTATCTGTCAAGTTTGTCCTCGTACTTTTTGATGTTTATAATCTGATCCTCAATATTTTATCAAAGTTCAATCAATCAAGTTTCCACTAGAAATAGAGAACAACTGAGTTGGTTCTTATTTGATGTGTGTGAGTTAACTCATAAAAATTACAGGTACAAATTCTAAAATTAGGCCTTAATTAATTTAATTGAACAAAATAATATTTGCTCTTTTTTCATTTATTTTGCTCAAATTAAAATACTTGGGATAAATAATGTCTATATAAAAAATCTTGTCTAATTTTTTTTTAAAAAAAGAGTAAGTTGGGTTATTAAATTATATAACTTTTTTTTTATGACTGTTATGTGTGCGGGTGTGCCCATAATTCTGTAACATTGTTATAATTAGAAACAAAAAAAAAAGTGTCATGTCTTGTAATTTAAACAAAATTTAATTTTTTAAATACAAAAATAGATATAGAAGTTTTTTTTTAAATATCTCCAAAAGAAAAATTACTTCCAAGCTTTGCTTAACCTAGCCTTAGAAACTTTTTGATTGTTTGACTCTAAACCAAAAGAATAAATTATATTAATTAAAAATAGTGATTATGTAACTCAATAAAAAATATGTATAAATTATCACTCAAAAAATAAAAATTTACACTGTTCCAACCGTCCAACTTATACTCATTGACACGCATCCAATTGGTAGCTACCCATTTATTCCCTTTAATCACGGGGCAACTCCCTGGGCATGACAACTAGAAACTTTGTTGCAAACATACCCAGTACATACAAAAGAAATGAGTGAAGTCT